ATATATATATATATATATATATATATATATATATATATATATATATGTATGTATATATGTATGTATGTATTTATGTATGTATGTATGTATGTATGTATGTATGTATATATAAAGGTTTCAGAAATATTTGATTAATTTAATAAAGTTATTTTGTTGTCACCTTGAAGATTTAAAGGTTCTCCTTGAATAACTGCAGTGAGACGACAATTCTTCAAAAACTATAGGTCAGAGATGAAAAGGAGGTTTCAAGCCTCAAATAAATATAAAAGTGAAACAGATGAATGTTCTCTATGATTACTGTCTTATTGACTGGTTAAACTTGGGCAGCGTACATGACAAAGAAATAAAATGTTTAAATGGTTTAGAATCTGAAGGTCGTGTATCATTTCCATCATTTAATATATGTTGTAATTGTTCAGATTTTTGCAGTATGGTTTTGTTTAAAAGTTATGAACAATCAAACCTGTTCAAGATAGATCTTCAAATGGCCCCAGTTTGGGGATGTAAAATTTAATTCTGACTGGATTGATTAGTCTGAACATACAGGCCGATACATTGTTTTAGAATCCTCTGCACTACTGGGAGTTTTGAAGTGGACCTTTCATTTGGCAACAATAATAAAATATTTCTGTTGCAAGCACTGCAGCAGCCACTGTTATTAATGTATGAAGAAAATCATAGAGCTTTATGTAAATAATCATGTAACGGAAAATAATCATAAATTAAAGATGCACAAACAACAGTTTTTTTTGTTTGTTTGTTTGTTTTGTTTTGTTTTGAGACTGAAGTTGTTTTAGGACAGCCAGTACTTTGGTACTGGCCCCAATTACATTAACCATTAGCTTGTTAATTCCGTCAAACACACATAGATTGTTTAAAAAAGCTCCCAACAGGTAAGATATTAATTATTCTAAATCTTTCTACAAACCCCAATTCAAAAATAAGAAACTGTATACATAAAGGTGCTATGTACAATATCAGAAATCAACATCACAGTTTTCAAGAGGGATTATATCAATATAAGATGAATATGATAAAAGTTTATTTACAAAGACAAAAATACATGTTTATATTCTCAAAATGGCAACATTTAATTAATTCTGAAATAGCAACCAAGCTTGTAATTATAATGTCCTGCCACCATCTGTCAACAAACGTTTGTTCTGAATGTAACAGATATGATGCTTTATGTAAACTGGAGGCAAAAATACTTCCTATCACTCTAGAATATTGGATAAATCTTGCATGAACAATGAATTACAGCCCTCATTTTACCTGTTTTTTTTTTAACAAAGAGGGAACACAATGAATGAAGCTGGAAGAGCCATGCAAGCATCCCCTCCTCATTATTCCCTGCATTTATTAGGAAGTTATAGAACATGAGAAGGCATAGAATAACAAATCTGAATTTACTAAAACATAGATGTAATTAATAAAGTTCCATTCAGTCGATGTTAGTTATTCATTTTAGAGAGCTTTTGTTTATTCTGACATGTTTTCCAACTTGTATTTTCTTTTGATAAGGTGTCAGTTCACTGTATGCAATTGAAATAAGTTGAGATGTCTTGTTTTAGCTATTTAAAATACTGCATAAGCATACTGTGCAACGGAGGTAAAATGTACACTGAAATACTTGTTTAATACACCAGGTTTATAATATTTGTGATTTTTCACTTATTTAGATCTTTTATTTTGAAAATTTTCCGAGGCAGAAATAATGTAATGCATGTCGCTCAACAGGTAGTTTCCTCTCTCTCACACTTAACCACTAGAGCTGGTAAATCTGGTTCACTTTATGGAGCCATGCTAATCTGAATCAATCAAATAACCCGTTTCACTTGAGTCGTTCACTCTGAAAAACATGGAACAACATAATCCCACAATAAACTGGACTGAAAAGAAGGGAAATGGTTGGAGTCAAGAATATATGGAAAATTGTTTTTGTTCTGAAGTTTCCATCTTAGATAAAAGTGAGTACAAAGACTAACCTGATCTGGTTAAGTTGCAATACCTCCGGTATATCACAATCTTGTTGAAGCATTTAATAAACAAAGGACCCTTTCTCTTCCTCATCACAGAATGTATGATTGTGCCATAGATCTCCTTCCTGGGGTGCCATTACCATCCAGCAGATTATACAACCTGACTGGCCCAGAGAAGGAGACTATGAGGATTTATATTGAGGAATCCCATGCTTTAGGCATTATTCTTCCCTCTACTTGCCATGTTGGGGCAGTGTTTGTTTTATTTTATTTTATTTTTTTGTGGAAAAGAAAGACAAGACCCTTAAACTTTGCATGGATTATCGGGATTTGAAATAGAGCACCATTAAAAAAATATATACTCTTATCACATATTTATTCAGTATATGAAGAGCTAAAATATACACAAAATCTGATCTTTGTTATGGATACCACTTGGTCAGCATCAAAGAGGGAGACGAGTGGAAAACTGCTTTCAAAACCCATTTAGGCCATTTTGAGTACCTAGTGATGCCTTTTGGTCTAACCAGTGCCCCAGCTGTGTTCCAGGCTTTGGTTAATGACGTCCTTGATTTTCTTGATTTAACATTCTAATCACATCTGAGCTATGTTGCAAAGGCTCACAGAGAATCAGCTGTTCATCAAAGCTGAGAAGTGTGAGTTTCATGTTTCCATCGTGCCCTTTTTGGGATTAATTTGAGAGAGTAGTCAGGTTCAAGACAGACTCTGATAAAATAAAGGCTGTCGCAGAGTGGCCAGTCCCAGAAAGTCAGAAACGGTTACAAAGGTTCTTGAGATTCCCAATTTATCTAGGAGTTTCATCAAGAGTTATAGCCAAACCTGTCCACATCTATGCTCCAAGATGTAAAGGTTTGTGTCTGATTGTCTCATGTGTGCCAGGAACAAAAATAATAATCAACCTTCTGGCCTTCTCTGTCCACCACCACCTGGTCTTCCATGGTCCCATGTTTCTTTGGACTTTGTTACATGACTTGCGCCCTTTGGAAGGTAATACCATTATCCTCATAGTGGATTGTTTATCTTAGACCTTAAACCTTTCTGCAGCAAATTTCCAACTAGCTGAACTGTCCATGTCATTTGCTACTTATTTCTGCATATTACAAAAGGAATGTCTTGAAAAGGGAGAGTTTAAAACTGGCCAAACGAAGTACCAAACAGTCAAACTAAGGCTTTTTACCATGTTTGCAAGAAATCCATTGCCCTTAGCATCCTGGGACTTACAAACTTGGCATCCCACATGAAAGATAAAAAACCCCCATGAAAAATCACTTGTGGTGAAGTCAGGAGCAACTCCCCAACCAGCCATTGGTGGATTTTTGGTGCACCAAGTAATTCCAGGAACACTGGGCCTGAGTTTCCTTTACTTCTATGGAGCATCTTGATGCCAGCACCAAAGTAATGGATGAAGACATCGATCTGTCCTTCCTGGCAAACGGAGTTCAGCAATTCCTCAAAACTGACCACACAGCTGATGACTTGATCTTGTCAAGACATTTGTTTCTAAAGTATGGGGCAAGGCCAAACATATAAGCTAGGCTTGTTTTGTAGTTGTGTGCTACTTCACTGTCCGGGAACATAGCCCTGAACACACCTCTCATGTCTTCTAAAAGCGTTCAATACAAAAACTCTCATGTCTCTACTTGAGTTGTAAGAGAAGTGAGCAGTAAAGCTCACATGTCCTTTGGAGAATGCATAATGTGTTTCTTGTGTCTTTGTTGATTGATATTCATTCCCGTCTCGGTGGTACAGGGTTGTTACAGCATATTTGGACAACTGAAATATGGTGAATACTGATAGACAGACTAAATAACAAGTTTGACTTTTGTTGTTAGCCATGCAGTTTCTATGACTGGCAAGTTTAAAAGAAAAACACACAACAACGATACAACCTTGAAGCTGTATTTTTGAACATTTTCAAACAAAATTCTTACTGATATTCATGTTGCAACTTTAGAATTTTTAAATGTCAAATACACAATCGTACTTGATTTTTTTTTTTGGTGTGCAAGAATACCAATTTTGTGGTTGCTGTTTGGTCTTATAATTGAGGAACTATTTAAATATAGAGTGGGTTTAAAGATGAGTATAAACAAAAGTTATCAGGTCTCAAATTGCACATCATCAATTATTTAAATTCATCGATCAAGAGGGTCTACTATATAAACTTTTTTTGTTGTTGCTACAAAACCACTGTCTTAACACAATTTATCATCTTGATGTTTATTATTTACAGCTGTGCCGCTCATTACAGCTCGACTCATGACAAGTCATTCTGCTGAACACCTGCCTCCAACCAAAGCCATCACTACTGAGTCCTGGAGCAGCAACAGGTAAGACCACATACTTCATGATTACCACATCATCACCATGAACTGGAAAATGTGTGAAGAAAATTAATCATGTCAAAGTAGCTACTAGCCAAAAATCATGATCAGCTTAGCAACAACAAAAAATAAAATGTTTACAAATTGATATATAAGCTGTGTAATCTGTGTAAGGAGAACCGAGATCAAAATAAATGTCAAAGCTGCTGCCAATGACTTATTAGACTCACAGTTGTAATCATACACTCTCTACCCTTCATCTTCATCACTCCACTCTTCATCACTCTATCCTTCATCTGCATCACTCTATCCTTCATCACTCTACCCTTCATCTTCATCACTTTACCCTTTTTCTTCATCAGTCTACCTTTCATCTTCATTACTCCACCTATCATCTTCATCACTTAAATCTTCATCTTCATCATTTCACTCATCAGCTTCATCACTCCACCAGCATCTGACAAGTAAAGCACTCCAACAGTCTCTGGGTGGATCTGATTGAGCTCCATGGTCGTGACACACTGAAGCCATGAGTGCATGGGAGCTGCACAGTTTCCACATGTCATCCCTGACACAATGACCCAGCTGCTCAATTGTTCTCTGCTGGGCAGCACATGTCCGTGCGAGCAACTTTTCTCTGTGATGAAAATAAACAAACCATCGCAGGAGTAGTCCTACTGAAGAGCACCTTCACTCAATCCTGAGGATCTCTTCAGATCAGAGAGTGACGCCAAGCATTAATGAACTTGTCTCCAAGTCTGATCAGACTGGTGAGCATCTGCCAGAGACTTTTCAGTTAAGTGTTATGAATGTTGTGTTTTATATTGAGGCTGAGAAAATTATTTCCCTCTGCCCTGAGAACCTGCTGTCTACCAAAACAATCTCTTATCTCGACTTGAAGGTCGGCTTCCTGCCTCCTTGGCGTTGTTGCCAGTAGAACGTGCCCAAAACATTCTCATCTCCGTCTGGAGGCCGACTTGACGACGGCCATGGATCATGTTTGTGCGACTGACTGCAGCTGCCTATGAGTGAATGCCCGCTGGACTCTGCTGCTCTATAAAAGTCTGCAGAAAACTTTATTCAACGCTCATTCTGTGACAATGTTTTCATGCATTTTTATTTACGCATGGAACCTGTCTTGACAGGGTCCTTGCAAGTACAATGCAGGTTAAAAATCTTCCCCTTGCCGTTGAGTTATTAACAATGTTAATGAGAGAGATTTTCTCTAACATCATGACAGAACAGCAAACAGAGCTTTAACACATGTTCAGTTTTTAATACATTCATTTTTGCATTTTTTTTCTCTTGCTATTAGAGGACATTTGATTTTCTTTGAAGGAAATACTTTTTTGATGTTATCAGCCATTAAATGGCCGTTATTAGTTGTTATCATCTCCATATGTAGCGGTGAGACTGCCCCTCCTTTACCTCCCAGTGGGTTTAAAGGTACGTTGTTAGTGTTGTTAGCATTGTTAGCATTGTTAGCAATAATAATAGGCTCTATTTTTAGCTTTGTTAGCGCTCATAATAGCTTCACATGGTTAGGTTTAGAGTAAAGGGTCTGGCGGTTAGGTTTACGGTCTTGGTTAGGTTTAGGCACAAGGGTAAGGGGGTTAAGTTTAGGGTTGGTCCTCAGGGTCAAGTGTAAGCTTACATTTAGGAAAAGGGTTACCTAAGCTGAAAACAACTGAAAAGACAGTTCCTGGTTTACCCCTGTGTGACGCTGCCTATTATCAGCAATAATAACGATAATAACGTACCTTTAAACCTACTAGGAGGTAGGTGGGCCAGTTTGACCGCTACATATAGGGATGATAACAACTAATAACGGCCGTTTAATGGACTGATAACTTCCGAAGCCGCTCGGCTAAACTTATAGGCCTTGATAGTTCCAGGTTCAATATGTGCCATAAGGTCATTTCAAGAACCCGACATTTTTCAGTCAGGTCATCTGGACAGTTTCTTTTTTTGTGCTGAAACGTTTCACCTTCGCTCCAGAAGGCTTCATCGGTCAAGGAAACAAACAACACAAA